TATAATCAAAGCGGTCGATTGGTTTGTCCTCACATAAGCAATAAAATTAGAACGCTCAGGCTAACAATAAAATTGTTCTTAAAAATTATTGTCGGCAAAGCTCAAACGGAAACCCTGCTTATTATAGCATAAACTAGAATCTTGTCTTTTTTTAAGGTCGTATGAATAGTGAGAAAAAAAACAAGTCAAATAGAGCATCCCTCATTCATGCGCACACTCACTCTTGCAGACGCCGCTCGCGTAATGCGGTTAAGCGCGTAGCGAAACAGAGCACCCGCCCAAGCCTATACCAAATTCACTTTCGTTCTCGCTCAACAAAGAATTATCGATTTTCCATCCGGTTCTTTTCTTTTGGAGTTGAGCCACCTGCGCGTCAACTTAAATGCTCACACTGCTTTACGTGTGCAGATTAATTGTCATACTCGTATATTCAAGTTTACGATTGGCGGGGTGCAAATTTCAATGCAAAACCAAGCTCATTCATCTTTCAAGAGCCGCGCACATTTTTTCAATATTTTCTTGCCTTCGGTAGTTACCGTGAAAAAAATTTGATGAACAATCGATCTATATATAAGCTCGTAGTTCGTAGTGACTCAAAAAAAGTAGCAACCATAGTTTAGGTAGAGCAAAACTATCTTTAGCACGAAATCCCTTAACGCTCAAAGGATTATCCGAGCAGTAGCAGCAGCAGCAGCAGCAGTCTACCGAGTGCATAAAAATTGAAGCCTGCATTCGAGCGTTGTATAGAGAAAGAGACTTTCACGGGCGTTGCATCAAGCTGCTGCCGCTGGTCAGTCTAAATACAAGCGCCACCGGAAAATTCGCCTAAGAATGCATCGCGTTAGAGGTGCATCGATCGATCGGCTGCTGCTGGCGGGCCGATGATAAAGAGAGAGAGGAAAGGAAAAAAAGCACCGACAAAAACTTCGTCACCCGCCGAAGTGCATGGCGGGCTGCTGAAGAGTGAAACCGCTCAAAGCAGCTGCACGATGCAGTCAGTAGCAGCATATACACGCGCGCGCTCTGCTCTCCCAAGAGTTTGCTCTCTTATATATACGACAGAGTGAGACAGAGAGAACAGCTTTGAACGGAACATTCGCGCCAACGACCGTTATGGCCGTGCCCTGAGATCATTCGGTTTTCTGTCAATTTTCTCCTAGATTTATTTCACGTTTGACCGATCGCTTCACGCTATCGAGACCATTTATTTATCTCATAAATTCGATCGTTTTCCATTTTAATTTACTTTACCATTTTCAGTCTTTCTCTTTACATAACCAAAACCGTAACTCGCAAGTTTTTTTTATATCTCTTGACATCTTCAAAGAAGCAACCGCATCACTTGCACGATCGCTATAATAAATTCAGCAAACGACACTGCCTTATCTTCTCACAGAGAAAAACGAAGGCTGCACGTGTGCATCGCTGTAATATTGCCGCGGCAAATAGTAATGAAAGCGTACGTGTATACACAGCAAGTAAACTCACGGGCACCGCAAAGAGCTTTGGGGGAATCGGACCAAGGGCTTCGGCCCTTCGAATCTGGAAGGGGAGAGAGAGAGAGAGAGAGAGAGAGAGAGAGAGAGAGAGAGAGAGAGAGAGAAACGGGTCTTTGGCTTTTTAAGGCAGCCAGATGCAAAAGGTATGGGGGGGGGGGGGGGGGCATACGCGAAAAGTATTCATAGTAAGATTGGCGCGTGCGCCCCTTTTCTGCACACGCGAATATCGTACGAGACGCGAGATCGATTGTAGCTCGCATGGCTTGTAAGAGAGAACGAGTAAAAATAGGGGGAGGGGAGGCTCATTGTCGAGGGCACATCTGCTCGATTGTCCAGAGGCTTACGCGTCTCCTCGGAAAAAAACGCCGCCTAGTCTCTCAGCTGCAATCGCTTTTGGAAAAGTGATCCCAAAGATATATGAACATCCTTGCGAATTTATTGCACGTCCAACGTTTGAGACTACGATTCGTTTTCTCTCTCTCTCTCTCTCTCTCTCTCTCTCTCTCTCTCTCGCTCTCGCTACGGATAGATGAAAAACTTGCGTCAAGAAAAAACAGTAAGCAAAGAGAGTGAACGAGTAGTTATAAACACCGGAACTGTTCAACTTAATATATTCATCGAGCGGCTTGACTGTCCTTACACGATAATGAATTATTGAGTGGCTGCAATTAATTTTGTCTCCAGTTACTTAACCCTCTCTTTCCTTTTTTTATCGCGAAATTTTTGTTTTTTCTTGATATGAACGGGAAATTGCAAGATAAGTGCATGCAAACTGTATTAACTTGATAAACATGAAAGTAATGGCAGCATGCCGACAAACAAAGAAACGATTGAAAAGGCGGAATAATCCGAGACATAGCGCAATTAATTTGGCGCGCTTCTCTTGACTCTGCCAGAGAATAGACGGCTAGCGTAATTGCCGTTCACGCGATGCGTATTAATTTAATATTTTAATTGCAGCGATTCAAAGAGTTGGCCGTGTGCGCGGCGCTAATCACTTAATAAGCATTCGTGTTCAGTCACACGGATATACGCAAAGACGTACGTGTTAATTACTAATTAAGTAAGGGTGCGCGTGAACATCAAGAAGCCGCGTGTTTGAAAGGTGTTTCTTTTTACGCGTCTTCTCAATGGCCACCTTCATGCCTCGACGCTTCAAGATGCTCGCCCCCGCGTACGTTTTCCTTTGAGGAAGCCTCTCTCTTGTTCGGTTCGTTTTAGCGATGCTCTTAATTATGCAGCCATTAATTTTGCGCATCGACAAATAAGCCACAAAGTCGCGAAGGGAAACCGAGATAAGAGAGAGAGAGGAGAAGCGTTTAAGAGAAGCGGCCAGTAGACTCGGAGTCTTTACTTTTCCTTCCCCGAATCTATCGTGGGAAAGTTGCGGGCAAGAAACCGGAGAGAAGGGCAGGGTGGCTCTGCTGGTCGAGTATATAACCGTCGCAGTGGCGCGCGCGAGCGCGAGGGGCCGGATTGTCGAACGAAAGGTAGCGAGCTTTAACAGCGCGGAGGGGTAACTCAAGACGCAAGCGTCTCAAACGACTTTTCGCCCTTAGCTGATGACGAGCAGCGAGAGAAAGGAGAAAAAAACTGTAACCGCTCTTGTTTCTTCAAGGGCTCAAAGAAAGTTAACCCGCTTGGCTCGCCCCTTTGCCTTCCGAACGTCATCGCTGTATAAGCTTGGGCGTTTTTTTTTTTTTTTTTTTTTTGAACCGGGCCGTCTAGCCGACGAGAGGCAGAAATAAAATGAAATCTTGATTCGGATTTGGCGAGGAAATTCACCTTCCCATTGTTGCACATTGTTGCAGAAAGCCGCCGCCGCGGCCGGCGCAGTATTGTGCTCGCGTCTTGAGTAACTCGGGCTAATTACTCATTATTCCGTTGCTCTCCGACCGCTTGCACACTAGCCTTGCCAAACAAACAAAGAAAAGCTTGGAGCAAAGAAGAAATGCCCGCGAGGCGCCTAGCTCGCTGTATATAGGCCCGGCAGTGAAAAGAGAGCGCCGAGAGCTGAAGAGTCGTAATTGTTTTCTGGCGCGCGAAGGAGCATCTCTTTTCCTCGGGTGCAGCAGCGGCCGACAAAAGGGCATGCCTCGTAATTAGATGCTAATAATCGCGCGAGCGCCCCGCAAGAAAGCCTTCGAGGGTCCCAGTCGTCATTGTCCTAATTATAGTATAATGAAAAAAGTGGCATCTCGCCGCCGCCCTCCGTATATCAACGAAAAGGAGTGGCAATTCTAGCACTCGCTCATTCTCGCAAGTCTCCGCGGGTGTCTGCTTTAATTAGGCACTCAAAGAACGCACGCGTTCACATACACACGCGCTCTTGTCTGGGCGTTTCGCTGCCAGTAGACGATTCTCTTGGCAAGTCTTTTCGCCACTTCATGTCGCGCATTGCGCACGGATTGTTCTAATTAGCGCATCCAGCAGCCGCATACTTTGCGCAAGTCGCATTGTCATCTTCACTTCTAGAGTGCAAGGAATCGTTGGAGCGTCAAGCCGAGAGTCGAGCTTGCGCAATTTTTATGTCAACAAATATACGTGGGTCGAATCAGTCGCTCGGAAGCAATCTTAAAAAATTGCTCCCAGCGGCGCTCGAGCGTATCCGTGTCGTCCCTTGTTATGCCTGACGATAAGATGTGCTTCTGCGCCTCACTTCTCCTGTCAATTAACCTGCTGTCGGAGTTTCCCATTTTAATCTACAGAAGCATGGAAACTCTCGTATTTGCACAATTGTTTCGGTCGCCGCGAGTAAACCTCCGCTAAGCAACGACTTTTACCTTGAACAGCTAATCCATGCACGAAGGCAAATGCATCTCGGTTGGCTTATCTTTACTTCTTTCTCTCTCGTTCTCGTCTGTGCCCTTGCTCCCTTTTACTCGCTCAAGGCACGAATGTGTCGCTCGCTCGCTTGCCACGGCATCGTCTACGCGCTTTTATCGATAGGATATCGCTGGGGCTCGAATTGATTTGCCTCCGGCGACGACGAGAGACGCGCGTCTCTGTATGCATCGACTCTTTGCAAGGAGTGCGCGAGAGAGAAGGGGCGGGGGAAGGGGGTCGGGAGAGGGAGAGAGAATGAGCAAAAGAGAGCGAGAGAGGAGTGCAAGCGGAACGCGGGATTGAATGTCTTTTCACCGAAGGCTCCTTTTTTCGAACATTGAAAAACTGTCTCTCGGCGCGGCACAGACACGAGTTTTCACTTTAATTTATTGTTTGAGTTTATTAATTAGCGACGTTGCGGCGAATGGCAAGTGCCACGACAACTTTATCTTTTACGCGCGGAACTTTCCTTCGTGTCTTTATTTACTCGGCATCAGTGCCGTCTCTCTATATATCGATCGCCAATTAATTAACGACACTTCTAAGTTTATCGAGCTGTGTGAATTCGAAAAGATAGCGCGTGCTGAAAAATAGGTAGCTCAGCGCAGCTAGAAAAATATAGAATCGATATCAACTCCAAACTAACGACTCGGTGTTTCATTTATGTTTGCGCAGAGAGTTCTACTACATTCAGATGGAGAAATACGCGAGGCAAGCTGTCTCGGAGGGCGTGAAAAGCGTCGAGGATCTGCAGGTCGGCGGCGACTCTGAGATTTACCGAGTGCTCAACCTTCACTACAACCGCAACAACCACATTGAGGTATGGAATCAGGTGCGCAGTTACGCAGAACACACACATGCATAGGCAGTTCTCAGTTATTTTAGTTTCTTTGCTCTTTTTTTGTAGCGTGTGTTTGTGTAGTTGTACGCTCTCGCGAGAAAACCATGCTTTCGGTGTGCCCAACGTAAACGTCGAAAGGAGAGACTCTGACCCGCAACGTCTAATTAGATTGTCGATCCGTTGCAGGTACCGTCGAACTTCAGGTACGTGGTCGAGCAGACGCTTAAGGAGTTCTTCAAGGCGATCCAAGGTGGTAAGGACTCGGAGCAGTCGTGGAAGAAGTCGATCTATAAGGTGATCTCGAGGCTGGACGACCCGGTACCCGAGTACTTCAAGAGCCCCAACTTCCTCGAGCAGCTCGAGTGAAAAGAGCCACGTCGCTCTTCGCGGTATTCTCGGTTGTTACCACTGCCGACGGCTAGGAAGCAAAGTTCCACTGCCGTCTGGTGAACACGCCTCTCCAACATCGCCATGCGTTTAACCTCGCAGTGCGAGCGGCGTGTGCAACTACGAACAGCAATTAACGCAAGAACAAACGCAAGCCCCCAAGACACTGATCCGATCAGGGAACGCAGGTATCCTTAAGTAGTCATAAACAAACATATCGAACCCGAGAGTTCACTAGCGAGCGAGCGAGCGAGCGAGCGAGCGATATTACGACAATATGACAAAGTTGTACTGCTAGAGACGGAGAGACAAGTGAAGCGCGCGCCGCGACACGGCGACACTCGGGCGATGCAGGCCGGCTAGCGAGTGTCAATTATTAACAGCAACAAATCGCAACCGATCGTCTCAACAATCACTGCTATTCCCTTTCGATCGCTGGCCGTTCGCCAAAGTGATACGATCGCACGAGTCGATGGTCGTGCGCGCGCGCAGAGACGAAGAGGCTGAAGAAGAGGAACTCAGTGCACACGACTCGACGACGAAGTGTAACATTTGTTCATTGCGACGACGTGTATACCTTCGTTGTAGATTGTAGAGAGTGTCCTGGCGATTCAAGTGAAAGCGCGTTAGATGAAGATGAACAAACCGTTCGTTATTTAAGGCCAAAATAAGTACACAATTGAAAATATTACAAAAACTTTGCAATTTATCGATGCTGTGTAGCAGAGTCGTCATTTTCAAGGATACCAAGCTCGATCTTCACCTGTTTCATCCTTTTCGTTGGCGTTGACGAATCCCTTCTCGAAATTCCTCATTTGAGAATGTAATCGTCAGTCGGTCGGGCGCATTCGAAAAACAACATAAATTAATCCAATTTTTACACGCTGTAAAAAGTAACGAAATTACGCGTACGTGCGCGAGTGTGTGTGTGTGTGTGTGTGTGTGTGTGTATGTGTGTGTGTGTGTGTGTCCGTGTGTGTGCGTATGCGAGTGTGTCTGTGTAGAAAACCAAATAGACGTCGGCAGCGACGTATGACCAATGGCCAAGCCCTTCGTTCGACGTCGCTGCCTCGATAAACGATCTCAAAAACTTGAGTCAAACTGAAACAAAAGAACTTTTCGTACAAGGGCACATGTAAATTGTTTCGATGTAAAAAGTGACTTTCGTACTGGAGTAAGGATGTGCGCACGGACTGTGACAAAAGGACAAAAAGAAACCGGTTGGTCGAGCTTGGTACCCGCTCTGCGAAACTTATTATTATTAGATTCGCTGTACTCGGGCTGCTGTGCATGCTGCTACTGCTACTCTCCTCCACAATGCAGCGGGATCGCGAGGGAATAAATGCTTCGTTCGCGTCGAAAAACTAGATGACGTTGATACTTTGCGAGTGTCGAGATTAGAGACGTCGAGCATCTACACAGGATGCACGAGAAGCACACTTATGCCTCGTCATTCGCGCTTTTTCTGGTCACTTCTTTTTCACACTGCTTGGGAACGAGCATTTCTTCTCTTCGTCTCGCGCTTCGTTCGTGCGATTGAGATGGAGAGAGAAAGAGCACAGCACGTTCGAGATGCATTGAGACAAAGCATAACCAAAAATATGAAAAAGCAAATCAATCGTGGAGAACCTTAGGTTCCTAGGCTGTACATAATATGTAGTTACGTTCTGTATAGATGTGTGTGTTGGCACGACGCGATTTTTTAGAAATTCGAGATAATGCGCGTTCCGGCGTCTCTTGACGAGAGAATAAGACATATGCTAAGGTGACCGATGGTGATGTTTATGAAACGGCCGCTTCTTTCCTCGACCAGAGACGTCCGACGCGGTTCATGGGCATGACGACACGACGATCTACGGGAGGTTATTGATTACTCGTCGTGAATTTTCGACGCGACGCATCAATTAGCTACACACTTCTCAAATAATCATTTTACACTTATCGATTAACACACTCGACACGTATGGTCAAGGAATTGTACTTTTTTCAGTCATTAGTTTTTTAGGTGGATCGACTTAAAATCGAATGAGTTATATCGAAATTGAGCATTTTCTTTATTTTTGTAAAAAAAATACCGTGAGAGTGCGATCGATCTAATGTTCAGTGTGCCCGCAAAGATTTTATCAATGAAATACTTCGCAAGAATTATTTTGTTGATTTCATAAATTTTTGTATACTGTTTGACCATTAGATTATTAAAACTGCTCTCTCAAAGTATTCAGTGTGCCGCAACTCCAGGCATATGGCTACTATAAGAAACGTTAAGATCGAGAGAAAAAAGTCAAAGAATTTTTGAAATAAGTTGCTGTAGATGAGTCAGATTATAATAATTAAAAAACCGGCGGCGTCCAGTAGGTGTGGATGAGATTAGGTAAACAAAAAAAAACACGTGGAGAAAAAATGTATACTAACTAGACGCGGGTACGTATCTATATAGAGTAGATTATATGAAAAAGTAAATATATATATATATACATATATATATTATAAATAAATTTAAAAGTGGTCTATATTAGAATCTCGAAACGGCGAAACGAAAGGAAACACGAGCTCGTCACTTTGGGATACAAGCCTCGTCATGTGTCGTCGGCGTATTTAATGAAACTTTGAATAAAAAAATTTAGTATATCGAAATAACAAGCACAAAACACAATGGCATAGAGAGAAACACTTGACACCAACACACACGAAAGCACTTACCGGAGCAAAAAGACGCTTGCGCGAGCAATGTCGTCGGGTACACAATATATGCCGTAAACTAAAAGTCGATCCCTCTGATTTACCGGGGGATCGTGCAAATTGTAGATAGAGTTTTCCTTAAAAGACATATATATATATATATATTTATTACAAGATAATGTGTCCCGCGAGATAATGCGATCCCCTCTCTATAAAAAATATATGATAAATATATGCGTTGCGGCTATCGACAATGGCTTTTTGACGAGTTTCCGAGAGCGCTATTGTCGATTGCAATGACCAAAAAAGAAACAACACCACGCAGACACGTTTCAGATTATATAATTATATTTTATTGCAAGCATAATATAGTTAGCGCCATCCATTGTCATTTACGTTAATTTAGTTGAAAATGCGCAGTTGTAGTTTTTATGATTTCCCATTGCAATCGGCTTGTTCCTTTTACCTATAACATATTATGTTGTCTCACCTTTGTCATCCCTTTGACTTTTCGTTTTGTCTTGAACGCCCCAGCGCCACGCTGTACTTTTAGTTTATGATTATAATTAAATATAATTGCATATTATTTATACAATATTATTATAGTGATTGAATAATATGATTTTACTTAGCATACCACCACGCGTTATACACTTTCTTTTGCAAATGGTGAGTCTTAACCTAGTCACGAGTCACTATATTTTTAATTAATTACGAGTCGATTTATTATTATTTAATTTATTATTATTATTGGTATTATTATTATTATTATTATTATTATTCACACAAATAAAAAGAAAACCATGAATATAGTTTGATTATGATTTTTCATCCCTTTTTACCTCAACAGCATTATCCTGCAATGATCAACTTGTTTTTGTTCTTTTATGTAACAGCTTGTTATTGTTGCGTTTTACGGAATATTTTGATTTGCTTTATAAAAACCTAAGATATACAACGGATCTCGTGAAGGTGAGGAGAGAGGAAATTCAAAATTCAAAAAAGAGAAAGTAAGTCGGAACTGATTTTTTGAAAAGAGTTTTCAGCAACGCTGCTTCGTCCGCTATCGAAGAACGTCTCGGCCTACGTTTTTGGAATCGCACACGTCTCGCGTCCAAGAGATCTTCGTCGAGAAAAAAGTAATAAGAGCCACGTCGTTACCGTCGTATACGACCTTCGAAGTTGTCGCTCCGCGTCGCAGAAAAAAGATACTATTTAAACTATTTTACGAAAACGTTGAAAAAAGTCGCTAAAAAATTGCAAAAAATAATTCCTCGCTCGATTTTGGCCTAACGCGAGAACTAAGAGATAGATATTCCACATTTTCGGCACTACTGGCCTATAATATAAGTATTGTATATAACATGCCCGGCGTCATGGGCACTTTCGTCGTTTGGTCTAAATTGATACAATTTCGTGCCTGAAACTATTTGCGTGCGCGTGCAGTATGTCACATGATATGAAGGGAGTCAGGACGGCAGCTAGACGTTTCGCACGCGCGATTCACACGTCGACGAAGAAAAAACCTGCCATCTTGCAAGTATTCGTCGGTTGGTCTTTTGGACGTGAGACGAGACGGAACGACAGTTCGGCTAAATGTTCCTACAAATCAAAATTTATTTATTATGAAAAAAAAAAAAAAAACTACGATGATTGTGATAGACGTAAAAATTTTGTACTCGGCAGCGCGACGAAGTACGTTGAGTGATTAGAAAAAAGGCTTGGCAGTTCGCATCCACTCCGGGTCAGACACTGCAGAGACACGTTGTACACATTACCCATGTAGAGAGCATCATTATTTAACCGCGAAAATCGTGATTGCATCTTATTGAACAAAGTGTTGTTAATTTTAAATGTGTATGGACGCCGCCTTTAAATTATTCAGTGTATACAATGACTCATCGGTGTATTAGATTATTGGGTTATTATGATTATCGCATGTCCATCGTTTCGATGTTTCTTTTCAAAACGTCGAAAATTGTATTCGAGTACTCGAAAACAGCGATGGTATTTAACTTTCTGTGCGATCGAATGAAAAATATAAAAAATAATTAATATCGTATCGCAGAGTCCAACGCATCTGATTCAGAAATTTTGAAAGCCAGAATCATAAAGAACGGTCAACCACAAAATAAAGATTAAAGAACATTTACACGCGCGATTAAATCGCTATGCTGACACCCTCAAGCAATCACGAGTAAGGTGTAATTAATGGAAACAAATCGATTGGAGTAATCGATTTCAGTCGCAAAATAAGTTTATCAGACAGACGTCGTACGAAGCACGTAACGCTCTTCTTTGGCATGCTCGCGAGGCTAGAACGATTGAGGGCATCGCAGACCATGTTAGGCAATGATCTACGAAACAATAAAAAATTCGGTCATGTGCAACGGGGACTGAGCTACACGTTCGGCTCGAACCATGTCGACTCGATGGTAGAAAGGAGAAACTGCAAGAGTGATGACGGTAATAAAAGGAAAAAACCAAAGCTTTTTTTAAATACGGAAGCGAATAGCGAGGTCGTATAAGCTTTGAAGCTACAGACAGAGATTATTTTAAGCGTACGTACTAACCTAAACTCTTAAGCAGAATATTAAGTAATAGTATCTAACGTTAAACACTTGCAAACTATTAATTATTATATCACGATAAACTAAAAAATGAGGAGAGAAATGAGAGAATACGAGGCTAGGAGGCATACCTACTTTAAGGTGAGAAAAAAACTAATAAACTAAAAAAATGATTACGATAATTATTATGATTCTTATGATAAACTATCAAGTTTTTCGAGATTAAGACGTGATAAACAATTTCAGAGAGGCGATGAATCATGATATCAGACAGGGGAACCGAAATAGTAGGCGAGTCAACGTAAAAAGTTGCGGTAATGAAAGACGGAATATTTCGCGACTATTAAAAGCATATGTAAGGGCAAGAGAACAAGTGTTGACTAGCGTGATATCGTACTCAGTACGAACTTGCAAGTCGTACGTTTGAAAAAATACGTGATTGAACGTGGCGAGCGACGATTTTTCGTTGTTTTTTTTTCGTAGCATTTAGGGCTAAAAGCAAAGCGTGAGAGAGAGTATCGCCTGCCCACGCGTGTCCACAATTGTAATTGCTTCGAGTATAAAGCTGTGTGATTGCTTTTAAGGAAAAATATAAAAATAAAATAATAAAACAAAAAAATACACAAGAAAATAAATAGAGCAACAGGATAAGGGATTAAAAAAATCATTAGTAAACCAAGAAAAAAAAAAATTATAAACGTGATGTATGCGTGTGATTTTTTTGAGAGATAGAGAACACTGAAGAATGACACGACGAGTATATAAATTAATTTAAAATAATAATAATAATAATAATAATAATAATAATAATATTAATAATAATAATAATAATAATAATAATAATAATAATAATAATAATAATAAAACTTTAGATGTGCGCTCGTGTGCTTATTAATTGTGCGAGAATGGTGATGATGATGCGTGATATTTAAATGATGTGACTATAAAAAGAAATATTTCGATGAAAGAGAGAGAGACTAACAGTACGTTTTTAAAACAAAAATAAAGAAAATTTGCTGAATTAATAAGATAAGAACGCATACGAAATCGCGTGTGCACCGTTACGCCAACTGATTGTTGACATCGCGTGAACAATTTTTCCTGTGTGATAATCTCATTGCGCAAAGCGTGAAAAAGAAAGAAAGAAGCAAGAAAAAAATGAAAAAATAAAGTCGGATGTGGTTAATAACGTGACATTTCAGGTCAGCCGAGTGAGTTTCATTGAAGAATGGTTATGTTTCTCGATCGCGAGTTCAAGAGGTTTCTTTTTCTCCACACAGACGACTAGCAGAACAAAGATTTTCAAGCCCATTGAAATCGTAACGAAAAACACAAAATAAATCCCTCTTTTTGATTAGTAGAATATTACGTATATGGAGAATGTTCATTTTACTATTTGAATAATTCGAAGATCCCACTGAAACACGTAAAATGTTACTTTCCAAGAGATTTGTCGAGTACCGGGATTTATGCATATTAAGTACTGCTTGTTTTTCAGAAAGGTAGGAAGCTAAATGGACTGTCGACTGCTCCGGTCCTTGCTTTTTAATCGTTCTTCAGTAAGCTGATTACATAACTCTATACTTGTCCGCTGATTTGGCGATGGACGACGACGACGACGACGACGACAACAATGAACATAAGGAGCTCAACTCTTTGACTTCAAAGATAGGCTGTTCTTTTCTCCGCATTGTCGCGCGGACAGTTGATACTCCTGCCGTGGACAACTCTTTCATAACGATCGTTACTTTTGTTTACAGACTACTTTCATGCCAAGAGTCGATACTCCAGCTCTTGGCAACACTGCCACATAACTCTACTTCAAATTCTTCTTACCGATTGTTAAATAGTTGAGCTCCTTTCAATAATTTTATTTCCAAATTATTTTAATATTTTCCAGAAACAACAGATAATTGTACAATGTTAAAATTATATGCTACCTTTTAAGAACACTGTGATATTCTAATGCAAACGGCTGCTTAGAATTTCTATAAGTTTAGAATCAAGGTCGTCTTCGTTGATCCCCAAACTCCATATATGTTAAAAATGACTTGAAGTAAAATGAGTACCGGATAATAGAGAAAGAGAAAGAGAGCATCCTCTTGAATTCGGCAACGAAACATTGGATGGGATTATTGTAGAAAATTAAAAGATGGCACCCACAAAATGGAGTAGATCTGAAAAACGAGGAAGACTGCTACTTTCATTCGACTAAAGCGGATGGTGCAGAAAAGCGTAGGGAGCCAAGTGTCCTTGATGCGACCGTCGTTGAAGCCGGAAATCTCGCGATCTCGCCGCGATCAAAAAACAATATACCGTTCCCAATTAACGTAATCGCTGTATAAATAAAATAAGAAAACATCGACGTTGCATTCAAAAGAATAACTTAATAATTAATTAGCCAAACGTAACAAGCGAACAAAACAAGTAATCAGCGATTTCGGACTGAGTTCGGAGCCACACGGGCTGGAGACGTTCGGCGCAAACCGATCCTAGATGAAAAAAATTTCGAGAGAGTCATTTTTAAAAATTTTTTTAAAAATGAGGAAGAAGAGAGATGAGCTAGTGATAGTGTTCAAATGAGCGAGCGAGAGTGATGACGCGCGAAAGGCATTAAAAATTTTTAGCAGCATAACGCGACGAGTGAAAGAGAGGGAGAGCAAGAAAAAATAATAAAAAATTATACAGAGAAATGCCAACCTCCTTGCCTACCGGGAGGTTCGCTGATATATTGTAAAGACTACTTTAGTATGTGAATAAATTAAAGAGAGACGAAAAAAATGACGATGAAGAAAGAAAATTATAGTGTCCGTTAAGTGTAAAGTAAGTTGAAGGAAGAGGAGGATGAAGAAAAAAAGAAGAAATTAAAGAAATTAAGATGTTAAAGTTATTATCTTTCTTCGTGCACGAATATTCTTTGGCAGCTCTTTTGGCAATATAGAATGAGAATAGAGACACATACACACATTCATACAGCACAACTTTGGCGAAGAGGTGAGTGCGTGCGAGTAGTCTATGTTTTACAAGTTTGCGAGTGAATGTTTGATATTATGATGCAAAACCGTTTGGAAGATCTGAATGCTGAATGTGATGAGTGAGTAAATGTTTTTTCAAGTGTATCACGGTCCCGACGTCCGACTCAGTAGCGAGAAAAGAGAGAAAAAAGGAGAGACGAGTGCACAACAAGCTCATAACGAGAAATCAAATACCAACGCGACAC